TGTTTTAATCCAAAATACACAGATATGAGACATCTGTAAGTATTTTTGAGTCTTCAGACTACGTGGGAAGGAAATAATAGTATTGTAAAAATTTTGACTTTTTAAAATTATCTGTGTATTAAAAAACTTGATGTCTTAATACTGGCAGTTTTTATTTTCATATTTTATGTAGCCTGAATGTGTATTTTTTCAGTTATATCAAAGTGTAATTGACAGTCTCAGAGACAATTGGACTATATAGTCTAGCAGTCTTAAATCAGAGAACACGTTTTAAGGCTTTGCTCTGCAACCTACTAAGCTGTGTTACCTTAAACAACTTACTTAATTTTTTACCATTTCAGTTTCTAAAATACAGCACTTTGCCTGTCTCCCCTTGAATCCATGGCAACTATTATTTTTGTTAGTAACAATAACAATATTTGCCTCGCAGTTTAGCTGAAACCTTTTCCTTTTACTTATTCCTAAAGACAGTTATCAGATACCAGCCCTGATGAAAACTTACCTATCACAGTGCACATTATCTGGCATGACCTATGAAACCTGTTTGGAATTGGTTCGATATAACTTATGAAAAATAGAATTTTTCTAAAATGTACCAAAACAATATGTTTAAGGTCCTGTTTCAAATAAACTACATTATGATTTGAAGCTCGATGGAAATGCCTGAATACATAGTTCCAGGAGGTATAACTTAAAAATAGAAGGCAAAATCATTATAAAGACTTTTCAGCCAATGATGGAATGCATACATGGTGATTGTCCCATAGGATTGTAATGCTCTATGTTTATTTTACCTTTTCTATGTTTAGATATAGTTAAATACACAAATACATATTACTATGTTAGAATTGCCTGCAATTTTCAGTACAGTAACATGGTGTACTGGTTTGTAGCCTAAGAGTAATAGGCTATATCATGCAGCCTAAGTGTGTAGTAGTCTATATCACTTAGATTTGATCAATGATTATCATTGGGTCTTGTGTGAATTAAATGTAAAGGAGCCAACAGAATACCAGGACCATAAAATATATTCAATAAATGGATACAATCATCATTTTTAATTGCATAATGACAGAGACAGATACCCATAGTAAAATGTCACTTTTGTCCAGGCCTCTTCATTTGAGATTTGTTGAATGGAGTGAAACCCACATAAGTGTGTTACACAATCCTAGTGAGTTGGGCTTAAACAGCTTTCTTGTCGTCTCCAGTAGCAATACAACCATAACTACTTCCCAACCCTCAGCGGCCAAGGTTGGAATGCTCTCAGACACAAGTTTGGAGTAACGTGGTTAGCTCTTCTGTGGCCAAAAAGAGGAGGGTTCTTCTACTGTTAATAACTAAGAGGGCATGAGGAAAGTAGCCCTCATGGGATCTGAGTCTTGCAGAAATACTACCTTAGTATTCACTGCCTTAAAAATATATATATATAATTTACTTACTAATGAGTCTGTCTGTAGGTTGCTTTGATCTGCATTTACTCTTCTAATTTCACCACTTTCTTACTAAAAAATAGCAAGCCAGAATGCAACGTGACTTTTTGTGCCATTTCAGTAATAACTATTCATTGGCAACAGGAAATGTGTTAGAAATAACATCAAATGAGGTGTTTGACTTTTTCTTTTTTGGGTAATTTTGCTTATAATAATAATACAATGTATTATTATATTATAATATTCTATCTGTTCCCTTCAAAAATGTGGGAACAACTGAGAGTGAAAATACATAAACCCACTTAGAAACTTGTGTACCTATAATCAGGGCAGTTAAATTATGCAGGGAAAAATGTGTTATTGAAATAGAAAGACTTGTGGTTCTGTTATTCATCAATTTTGTATTTCACTCCTCGAGAACTCTGCTATGCTAAGTGAGGAATGAAGTTCCAACTCACCCTGCCTAGTTATATACTTTTGGGCAGGAAGAGGAAGGGCATGGTGTGATGGAAACGAAACAGGACAGAATCAATAGAAGCACCTGGATTCCCAATCTGTTCAGCTCCCTTCCAGCATCTATGATCTCCTCTTTTCATCCTTCAGCTCTCTACTTAATGAAGTTGAGCTCATTAAATGTCATCATCATCATCTTGATCATCATCACAACCGACAGTAGTAGTAATAACAACCACCACCACTGCAGTCACCATTTTAAGAAGGACTGACTCTGGGTCAGACACCATAATGAATGGTTTACATAGACCATTTAATTATCCCAACAACTGTATAAGTTGTATGGAGTCACTTTTCAAAAGGGAGGCTCAGAGAAATAAAGCGACTTGTCCAAGGTCACACAACTAGCAAGTGTCAGAAGTGGTGTTTGAATCCAGGTTTTCTAGCTGAAAATCCTATACTCTAGGGAATAAACCCAGAATTTCTGTACTGCCTTCTACTTTCATACAGTTTTTATTCATAAACTTCTCAGTCCCACTTGACATATTTCTCTTTCTGCTGTTTTGTGATCAATCTGGGTTACAGATTTCATGAAAGTAAGAGTTTTTCCCCTAATGTATAGCATTACATAACTAACCCAATGACTGACAGTTGGCTTTTTGAGGGAACCAGATACTGATTTATGTTTCCAGGAAAATGTTTAATGCAAAACTCTGAATTCAGATTCAAAGCAGAATATATCGTGTGATTATTTTTAAAGTTTTCTTTAAAAAATTAGAAAGAAATATAATTGCTTTAGGTGTAAAAGTCCATATTTATTTTTATGTACAGTACCTTAGCATTCTGATCTGGAATTTTTTTTTTTTTTTTTTTGAGACAGAGTGTTGCTCTTGTCCAGGCTGGAGTGCAATGGTGCGATCTCGGCTCACTGCAACCTCTGCCTCCCTGGTTCAAGTAATTTTCCCACTTCATCCTTCTGAGTAAATGGGATTACAGGCACCCACCACCAAGCCTGGCTAATTTTTTTTGTATTCTTAGTAGAGATGAGGTTTCACTATGGTGGTCAGACTGGTCTCAAACTCCTGACCACAGGTGATGCACCTGCTGTGGCCTCCTAAAGTGCTAGGATTACAGGCGTGAGCCACCAGGCCTGGCCGATCTGGATTTATTTTACGTTTGACAACATTATTTCTTCCTTCTTGCCATTCATTTCTTTTATGAGGTAATTTTGTAGTTTTAGAGTTAATTAATGTATAGTTTAGATGACTAATTCTACCATCCACCAAATTGTGAGCTTGATGTATGAGTTTTCTAAGGCTGCTATACTGAAGTACCATAAACTTGGTGGCTTAAAACAAAAGAAATTTATTCTCTCACAGTTCTCAGGGCTAGAGACCCAAAATAAAGGTGTCAGCAGGGCTATGCTCCCTTAGAAGGATCCAAGAATTTTTTCTTGCCTCTTAGATTCTGGTAGTTTCCAGTAATATTTGGCTTTCCTTGTATTAACTCCAAAAGGCTAGTGGGGTACTATTGTTTAGTATCCCCATGAATTTTAATATAGATTTTAAGATAAGCTATATAGCATTTAGAAATCCCTTGGACCTTCTAAATGTATAGCATATTATATACATAAGGAAATGAAATCAGAATTGCCATGTAGAATATAAAAGTTGAACTTTATGTCAGAGATCCATGCTAAAGTAAGAGAGTGGTGAATTCAAGAAGAATTTAATATAAATAATTGTATGCCTCTCTACTCTGGAGAAAAAAAATGATTCTTCACTTGCTTACACTAAAGACTATATGAATGATGACATTTTGTTTCTTTTGTAACACACAGAGTGTCGAGTACCTCAATGCTTAATTATTTTCTCATCAAGGACCCTTTCCCACCTTCTTTCTCTCTTGTTTTCCACCACTGCTCCCCTCTGGAACAGATGACATTTTTTTTTTCGTGGGTTAATGTGCAAATCAAGAAGGTCTGGTTCAGTTTCACAGATTAATTCAATGTAGTCTTAACTCAACAGTTGTTCCTTTGTTATCCTTGTATCAGATCCTTCCTAAGAAACGTGTCCCTTTTTCTTTCTGAACCTTAAATTGTGACCTAGGCCCTTGATCTTGCCAGGGTTCGTAAGTCCTTCAGTCCTGAAGACACCGATTCTTCAGGCTTTTCTATTCATCCTTCTTATCTGCTGGACTTTGCTTTTACCCAGGCCTTGCATCCTACTGCAGCCGATGGAGAGTCCACTCTTACCTGCCAGTCACACCCTCCCTTGCACCATGGGTCTCACTGCCTTTTCTGGAAGGCATTCTTTTGCCCCTTTTGCTTTCAAAGGCTTTTATCTTTAATTAATGTGATCCAGAGAAATTCTCTGAGTCCCCTCACTTAAAATTTATTTGGCCTGTACCTAGTACGTATTAATTGCTTTTCATTTTAATTTCATTTTTTATTTTTATGGATTCAGGGAGTACATGCGCAGGATTGTTACATGGATATATTTCTTAATGGTGAGGTTTGGGCTTCTAATATGCCTATCACCTGAACTATGAATTGTAAACATTGTACCCAGTAGGTAATTTCTCAGTCTTCACCTCTCTCTCCCACCCTCCTTCATTTTTGGAGTCCACACTCACTTAAGTTTGGCTTTAGAATGATTTCTAAACCACAATGATCTTGTGATTTCAGAGCAGTCAGGGGATACTCCCAAATGTTTTACAATACAATGGAGCTGAACAGTAGCCTACAGGCAGCGTTTTGGAATAACTAGCTACTGAACTGTGCTTCAAGGAAAATGTTTAGTGCAGTATCCTAAATTTAGATTCAGACAGAGTTTTAAATAGTTGTATTTAAAAATTGATGGGTTGAAACCCATAAATTGCATAATAGAGTCTCTCAAATTCAGTCTGAATTGGACTGCTTGCATTGGTCTGTCAGGTGATAACTAAATTTTCCTTTCAGTTGGTCCTGTGACTGTGATATTACTTATCCAACATGAGAAGTAAATCAGCTTTTTATTTACATTTGATCCCTGTTTCAATACACAAAAGCAAATCCAAAGTGAATGGTTTGAGATTTAAAGTTTGCTTACCTCTTCCCAACCCTTTGGCTTTTAGATTTGCTTGGAACTGTAGAAGAAATCCTTCCAAGCCTCCCAGAAGATATCAGTGTTTGGGGGATGAAAGATTCTGTTCCACAAGGTGTAATTTCACTCAAAGAAAAACTGGGCACCTCATCTGATGAGCCCGTGCCACGCAGCTGCCATGTTGTCTCATGCCTCAAGTCTACTTGTCTTTACATTTTTACCTCTGGAACAACAGGTATGATCCAATTCTTTTTAAGGATAAAGTGGATGCAACAAATTTGCAAAGCAACAGTGTTGGGCAAATTTCTATCATGTGGAGTGACCAAACATCTGAGAAAGCATGCTTGCAAGAAGATGTAAGGATCTCAGAAGGCTAGAAATTTCATGGAAAGTTAATTATTTTAACTTTTACATGACAAGTTATCCTGCTCATTTGGCATTTGTCCCATTTGACAATATTTTCTTAAAGTTTGGTAGTACAAAGGGCACGGGAGTATCCGAACACCTTGATCCAGCCTTGCTGCTCAGTGTATGATACTTGGCTTTTTGGGCAAGATCTTTGTTAGCTTCTCTAATCCTCAAATTTCTGACATCTAAAATGAAGAAATTAGTTAGTTTAAATAGTTTCTACTTACTTTTTGGATTTAAAAAAAATGTGTTAATCTGCTTGAAAACAGTTCTTTATATTTAGTGAAGGTTATTAAATCCTAAGCATAATCCAGCTATACCTGCATTTAGGCACCTGTAACTGGCTTTCCTGATTTTGGTTAGGGTTATTGAATCATGTGACAATAACCTTGAAGGAAATCTTGAAGGCATTGCAGGTTTGGACTAAGTTGCAAAATAGAATCAAGTAGCTAAACTTTGTTTTTTAAGTAAACTACAGCAATAACAAAGAAAAATAAAACTGTCTGAGAATTCAAAAGAAGGGCCTGGCACAGTGGCTCACATCTCACAGCATTTTGGAGGCCAAGGTGGGAGGATCGCTTGGGGCCAAGTGTTTGAGACCAGCCTGGGCAACATAGTGAGACCCCACATCCACAAAAAATTAAAAAAAAATAGCCAGGTATGGTGGCATGAACCTGTAGTAACAGCACTCAGGAGGCTGAGGCAGGAGAATCATTCATCCCAGAAGTTTAGTGTTACAGAGAACTGACTGTACCACTGCACTCCAGCCTTGGCAACAAAGTGAGACTAAGCCTTAAAAAAAAAAAAGAAAGAAAAGAAAGATAATTAAAAAGAAATGTTAAACTTAACTGATTTCTAGGAAAAACTGAATGGTATTAATGGTAGCCTAAATAGACTTTTATTATTAATTTGAATATGATTGGTGATTTGACTTAGACAAATCGAAAATGTTCTGTTATTAATTTCTTGTGCATAGGTAGAATTGTAAGCAACTACTATTGCATAGTCAAATTTTTCTTACATTTAAAAAAACTATTCAGTGCCTAATTGTGATCCCTTTTAGACTGGAGAATAGAATTTTTTTTTTTTTTACTATGATTAGAACAGTTTTGATAAATGAAAGTGCTAATATATGTGTGGCTACTCTGTCCAGACTCAGAGAGCTTTTCTCTGAGATTCTTGGGGCTGCCTAATCAGGTCTATTAAATAATAACAGGTCTAGAAATTGGCAGATTGAATAGATACATAGTCTCTTAGGACAAAAAGAATGGAACTAGAGATGACAGCTACAAAATTTTAAAAACGAGATGATGAATGAGTGTGGTGGCAGACACTGCAGACCCAAGAAGCTGAAGCTGAAGCTTATGGTGAAACCTTGAAGAAAATTCATTTGCCCCCACCAAACCACAGAAAGGCTCAGAAATTGTGTACCAGATACCTCAAAGAATAGACAATAAATGTGAAACTACAAACAGGAAACTTTTGGGAAGTGTGTTTAAGAAGGAACCACATTATAAGGACACATGCACACAAATGTTCATTGCAGCACTGTTTACAGTAGCAAAGACTTGGAACCAACCCAAATGCCCATCGATGATAGACTGGATAGGGAAAATGTGGCACATATACACCGTGGAATACTATGCAGCCATAAAAAACAATGAGTTTGTGTCCTTTGTAAGGACATGGATGAACCTGGAAACCATCATTCTCGACAGACTGACACAAAAACAGAAAATCAAACACCGCACGTCCTCACTCATAGGCAGGTGCTGAACAGTGAGAACACATGGACACAGGGAGGGAGCATCACACACTGGTGTCTGTGGTAGGGAAATAGGGAAGGGACAACAGGGGGTGGGGAGTTGGGGAGGGATAACATGGGGAGAAAGGCAGCAAACCACACTGCCATGTGTGTGCCTATGCAACAATCTTGCATGTTCTTCACATGTACCACTAAAATGCAATTAAAAAAAAAAAAGAAAGAAAGAACTGTAGCCCTGGATTGCTGCTTCTACCCTGATAGAAGTCCTGAGGCTTATTCTCTGGAAAAGATGAACTTCTAGAAATATCTGGAAGAACAGAGGTTGAAAAAGTAGGGGATATAAGAGGAAGTCTTTCTTTCTCTCTAAATATGTATATACGTATATAGATAGATAGATATGCATATATATAAAAACTTCTCTTTAATATACATAACTTCTCTTTAATACTTGACTCTTTTATTCTTCAAGATTCTTGTCTGAGGAATCTGAATAGCCCACATGTAAAATTGAAAGACACTGATAGTGATGGATCCCCCAATAGAATGTCCTGGACAATGAAAGCAACTAGTAAATAAGTGGTCTTCAGGCACAAAGATTCTAGTTAATATTTTGTTTGTTTATACTGTGTTTTTGCATTTGCATCTTAAAATATAAACTGATAGTCAAATGTCTCCAGACATTTGAAAAAATCCTCCTGAATATATCATAGTTTGAACTGAGACCAAAACAATCCAAAGATTAAAAGGATGTTGGAGAAAACTGACAAGATAGAAAGGAGAAATTTTCAAAAGATTATTATTGCTAATATTCTGGAAGATAGGGGCAAAAAAGTGTCAATAATGTAAAAATAACATAATACAAAAAGAGGAATATTCAGAGAACACAAGTGTTGGAAAGTAAATCTCTCAAAAAGTAAAGCAAAAGGTAAGAAAAGGAAAACAGAATAGAAAAGATTAGGAAATTAGTGATTCAGACCAGGAGGGCTGATCTTCAAAAAATCAAGAATTCCAAAGATGAAAGGATGAACACACAAATAAATGTAACAGAAAAAAGCAATGGGCAAAAAGAACAGAAATAAAGAATGGAAGAGAAGTGGGGGGGGGGGTGAAAATTACATTTTTTCAAATTCAAAAGTATCTAGAACTGTAAGACCTGAGCTTTTAGACTGAAAAGATCTACAATTTTCCCAGTGCAAAGGATAGATGAAACTGGTCCCAGTACAAGTCGTCATGAGATTACAGACTACTGAAAACTAATAGAAGATTCTAAAAATAGAAAAAATAGAAATACTGTGTTTCATCCAAAGGAAAAGAAATCAGAAAGACTGACAAGTCCCCAATATATATACTGGAGGTCAGAAGACTATGGAGCAATGCTTTAAAAGTCCTGTATAAAAATAGCTTTTTATCTAGAATTCTGTACAAGCAGCCATTCAAGTGTATGGGTGGGAAAAAAGACATTTTCAGACACATGAGGACTCACAAAAACTTACCTCCCAAATACTCTATCAGACAGCTACTGAAACCAAATGTGCACTACCACTGTATTAATTTCTAGAACCTTAGACCTATCCAGAAAGGCCGACTATGAAATTACATAGCATTTAAGATCCAGTCTTACTTAGCAACCTGTGAAAGGAGTGTTGCTAAAGTCAGCATGGCCTCTTTTACAAAGCAGATAGATTACTTTGATATATTTTGTGTCAGTTGCTAGGGTAGTTGTTATCAGCATTGTCTTCTATTACTTCCTTTCTAGTTATATGAATATGTATGTATATGTATATGTATATGCAGGGGTGTGTGTGTGTGTGTGTGTGTGTATGTGTGTGTGTGTGTGTGTGTATATGTATTTCCTGTTCTTTTCTTCTTTTCCAGGTTTACCAAAAGCAGCTGTGATTAGTCAGCTGCAGGTTTTAAGGGGTTCTGCTGCCCTGTGGGCTTTTGGTTGTACTGCTGATGACATTGTTTATATAACCCTTCCTCTGTATCATAGTTCAGGAGCTATCCTGGGAATTTCTGGATGTGTTGAGTTGGGTAAGCCTTTATTTTCTTTCTGATAAGTTTACAAAATGCCTAATAATTAGAACAAGTGTTTACTGACATTTGAAAATTTATCAGTAGAATTTAGAGTGATTATATGCATATTATTTCATTATAATAAAATATTTATTTTTTAAAAAAAGCACACAATTTTATGGCATATTCAGTGTTTTCCTAAAGTCAAAAGACCAGTTTTTTGAGGATTTGTCCATGTAGTTGGAACTGGCTATTGACTGGGCTTCTCTCTCCTTGTGGTCACTCACCCTCACACAACCTACCCCCATATTCCTCAAATGGTGATAGAAATGTTCCAAGGGAGGGTGTATGGAAGCTGCAGAAATCTTAAGGCCTAGTCTTAAAAGTCAATAGATTATTTCACCTTCATCCCATTGATTAAAGCAAGTCATAGGCCAGCCTAGATTAAAGATTCCAGGGCTAGAGAAATAGAAGCCACCTCCTGAAAGGAGATGGAGCAAATTTACACAGCAAAAGTAAGAGCCTTGAAGAAATTGCTGAGGCCATCTTTGCAAACAATCTGCCGTAGACACTCAGTAAATTAGTTGGTAGGGCTTGTGACTCAGTAGATTCCATTCATAAAAACATGCAAGATAATGCGTCAGTTTCTAGGCCTAAAATAATATACAAACAGTAGAGATCACGTGCTACTTGTATATGTCTAAAATGCTGTAATTTTTAGAATAGAATATTTAGAATGTGATTAGTATCCGTCATAAATAAAGAGGAGAGTAAAGACATTAAAATCTTCTGTAGATGTACACTGTGGTCAAAATCAGGTTCCGCAGTCATTGATGAACTTTTTTGTTAGTGCTATCTTGCTAAGTCAACCTAACTAACAATTGACCTCAAGATATGTTGAGGCTGCTTTAAGGTTTGAAAAATGAATCATATGTATATATTCAAGTTGAAAAGTAAGTGAATATTCTTGGCTTCTATGAAGAAGGATGACTCTTATCTATAGTCATGCCCTAATACTCTAACCCTCAATGAACAACATGAAAGGATGCTTAAGAGCATTGAGTCAGAGAGCTCTGAACCCAATCCCCACTCCATACTTTTTAAAGTGGGTGACCTGAAGCAAGCCACATAGTCTCTCTGAGCTTGTTTCTTCATCAATAAAATAGGGATAGTGTTGCTAACCCCACAATCGTTGTGAGGATTACCTAAAATAAAGTACTTAGCACAGTTCCAGAGAAATGGAAAGCACTCAATATGTGGTAAACTTTGACTGTTGCTTTTGTCCTGTGTATTGCAATATTTTGAACAGAGGTTTTTCATAATAAAGTCTGTGTTTCCAAATGAGTTTGATGTAAATTATTGATGATGAGTTATTAAAGTTATAAAAGTAAGCAAACAGGTTCTAGACAGAGCAACATCATTTATGTTTTATGTTCATTCTTCCCTTGAATGTTTTTCCCTAGTGCCTGTTTTTGTCTTTCCTTATAGGTGCCACTTGTGTGTTAAAGAAGAAATTCTCAGCAAGTCAGTTTTGGAGTGACTGCAAGAAGTATGATGTGACTGTGTTTCAGTACATTGGAGAACTTTGTCGCTACCTTTGCAAACAACCTAAGGTAGGCGTAATCATTATCAGAAAAAAAAAATGTCAGAAAGAATAAGTATTGAGATATAAAAAGTTATTTTCATTCATTTGTTTATATTCTACCTTCTTTCAGAATATAATTTATCTGACTTACAAAGATGCATGCAATATCCCCCAAGACAAACTGAGACAAATGAGAGAGAATAAAAAGAGAGCGATCCAAGAATGTACTAATATGCTTTGTACTGTAGCAGGATAGGACAGACCCAAAGACTTTGTGTTTAGACTATTTATAATTTCTACAAACATAACATGCATCAGATTATGAAATTGGATGCATGCTGTATTTACATAAAACAGTTATTCTAAGGTTAAAATACTCTTAAAATGCTGTTCTTTAAAAAAAAACTTACCACTCACACTGATTATAACTTACTTTTCTATTTTTTTCTTTTGAATAAGTGATTATAGTCAAGATATCTTTTTGATTTGTTTTACTTTAAATTAAAAAAAAAAAAAAAACACGCACATTGCTTTGATTTGCACTTGTCTCCTTACCTAAAGAAGTCATTTTCGCTTTCTTTTGATCAACTGCCACCATCTGAAAAACAGATAAGCAGGGACAGTTGAAATAGCCTGAAGTTTATCTTTATTGGTTCATTTTTTTTTTTTTGCCCTCAGAAGTTATTTCCTTTTTCCTAGTTTCGTTTCTCTCTACAAATGCCTCCTCTTAAACTTTATGATTTTCTAAGCATTCTTGAGGCTATAAAGAAGTGACTTTCTTTAATCAAATTTATTTCTTTAATTATATTATGATTACAAATTATTTCTCTTTAGTTATCTGATTATTTTAAAAATCAAATCTACATCAGCCCCTTTAAGAATGACAATAGAGTCGATATTGCCCTATGTGGGGTGGGGCAACAGAACCTTGGCCTTTCAGACCCCCGTTTCCTAGACTAGAGGATCTCTCACTTATCACCTCTGCCATCATCACACCTGCTTAAGGCATGAATGGTCTGCTGCCGTGCCTTCTCTTCTTCTCTTTGGCTAAAATATGGACATGTAATTCTTCAATTAATTACCTAGAGCATAGCTAACAGTAGGCTGGAGGGATTTAAATAAGACTTTTTAAAGATATGGAATTACACAGGGAAGATGGACACAGACAAAATTGTGAATTTGGATACTCTGATGTACAAAATGCTTTGATTCATTTAGAGCTTGGAGTTTACCAAGGAGAAACCTAATGTAGAGCTTCTGACCCACCTCCTTGTGGCAGAAGCCATCCTTCCTCATTTTTTGTCTAGAGTGCTTCAAATAACTATAGATTCCACAGATTCATAACTAAGACAGAGGGTTCCAGAGAAATATTTTACTTTGTTGTAATTTTTTTCTCTTCAAGGAGACCTTGCTTCATATAAGGAATGTAGTCTTAACCTGAGGAATCCCAATAAAACAATTAAAATGCCACAACCTTACATATTTTCTCTTCTAGTTTTCACTGTACTTTTTGGTAATATGATATTTGGATTAGGTTAACTTAGGGAATTAATGCTCTCCCGTAAGATTAAGGTCACCTTCAGATGAGATTTTATGACTTTAGTACAGAACACAAGATGCTACCTAGTGAAGTTCATCTGTTTTCTAAGCCATGTGCCCCACCACTCCTGTGTCCTCTCATTCTTTAATAGTGACATCAGTTTGTATAATGTCATTGTTCGGTAAATATTTATTGAATGATTGAATACATGCATTTGCTTATTTTTTAAATGTGCCAACTTAAATAATGCTGCATTTAGTATCTTGATGCAATAGAGCTAATATAGGTTTTCAGAAGTGAATATAAATAGCCAAACACTATGGATGCTTTCGTGATTTTTATAAAATATTTCTAAATTGCGGTTCAAAGTGGTTGAAGTGATTTAGAATCTCATGCACATTGTAGGAATATGTCTGTTGCACACTGTCTGTCAGTACTGAGTGTTATTAAAAATAGTGGTTTCCAGCTGTGCTTCTTAGAAAACTAGAAGCTCTTTTAAGTCCCCTCATAAGTCCCTGGAACATGGTGAGTAAGAGTAAAAGCAGGCCCCTCCAAGGCCCACTCTTTCGAATATCATGAGTTAAACCCAATTTCCTGAGCTCCTCAACAGGACTTCCTTTGAACAAAGGACACCTCAGTGGTTTTCAATTAGAAAAAGTAAATTTGATTATTTAATTTTGTTTATAATTTTATAGACTAGAAACAAAACTAATATTAATATGCTCTGCTAAGATGACCGGGAAGGCAGGACAGTTTCCAGTTGTATTTCCTTTTTTAAAATGCCTCTTTTATGTCTCGTACTCATTTATTTCTTTGGTACATAATGTTTCACCTTATCCATTTGAATCTTTATACAGTTTATTCATGTAATAAAGGCATTAATAGTTTTTCGTATTGGTTACACATCTTTTCTCAGTGTTTTCCTTTGAATATTTTAATGAAATAAAATATTCTGTTTACCTCTCTGAATCTGTATTGCACTAATTTGAGAAAATATTATAGTTTCAGAGAATATAAGAGAACTGAGAATTGAAAACAGAATACCTGATTGCTTTTTAATTAATTTAATTTTCAGGGCTGGGCATGGTGGCTCATGCCTGTAGTCTCAGCACTTTGGGAGGCTAACGTGAGCAGATCACTTGAGGTCAGGAGTTTGAGACCAGCCTGGCCAATATAGGGAAACCATCTCTACTAAAAATACAAAATTATTTTTTGTAAAATACAAAAATACAACATGGGGAAACAATCTCTACTAAAAATACAAAAATTAGCCACCTGGTGTCGAGCACCTGTAATCCCACCTACTCAGCAGGCTGAGGAAGTATGCTTAAGCATGCTCAGCATGCTTAATTAAGCCCATGAGGCAGAGGTTTTGTGAGCTGAGATTGTGCCACTGTACTTCAGCCTGGGTGACAGAGCGAGACTCTATCTCAAAAAAAAATTAATTTTTAATTTTAATTTTTAAGCCGCTTTGAAGAAAAAAATGATGTTTATGAAATAATCTGCAAATACTTACCTGAATTCAAACTGAGGAGGAAATAGGAAAATAAATATTGCTTTACCCAAAGGAAAACTTAATAATTTTTTAAGGCAGAGATGCATAATATTACCTAATCTCCTTTGTTGACCTCACACAAAATGAGCATGAGCTGTTCTTGGCATTAAAAATCAGGAAAAGGAGAAAGTCATTCTGTTATGACATCTTTTTCCTTCAAGGAGATCTTGCATCTTTGCTGTTCAATATTCCTTTCAATGACCTTCCCTTGAAAGGAAGGGGCAGTTTCTACTGCACAACCAGCATCAGGGGATTCAGGTAGAGCCAGAGAATAAACACATGACATGGTCCTGGTTCTCACCTTCAAAGAATTACAATTGAATGTCTTATAAGCTAGAGTTTGAAGTCCCACAGACAGTTATTTAAAAGAAAGCAAAACCATGTGTTTTCTAAATAGATTCAGATTTGTTGACAATCTCAGGGTAAGTAGCATATTCCAAAGGAAATTTACCTGCAGGCAGAAGTCATAGTGAAAGTTGAATGTTGATGTGTAGATGTGCAAAGACTCCCTAGGATTGGCTTTCTCTGGTCAGAAGCATTTATCCATTTCTGTCTCTCAAACATGCGCCCCATCCCCCACTTTTCTTTTTCAAAACTCCAGTTGCAAAAGTTTCTTTGGCATAAATATTGGATGTACCGCATTAAAAATGCTGGCAGCAGCATTACCTTCAGAAAGAGACTGACTCCTCTTAGTCATGGTGAGATGAGGTTGTTCTTCTCTTCCCCTGAGCCTAGGAAAGCAGCTCTCCCCCACTTTTAATATTCCAAGTTTTCTATATTACTGGAGCACCTTCATACAATCTAATTGGGTCTAGTTCTATATTTTCTTAATATTAATGATGTCTTTAATATTAACTGGTGAAGAATATGTTGGAACTCTACACATCAGTGATCCTCTGGGGGAGTCCTGTTGCAGAGTTTGTCTTATATAAATAATTCTATCTAACACAGTCAACAGTTAGCCATATCTAGGGATATATCTAGGGATAGGACTATATATGTAACTTGTTCATTTACTCATTAATTCATCCATTCATTTAAGTAATATTGTAGGATTATATCTACATGGACCCACAGGACAAATCAGATTGCTTCTCTCATAGAACTTATATACTCTTTGATGAGGGGGAGAGAAAATAAACCCAGAAAACACAGAAGGAAAGTAATTACAGGCAATGACAAGTGTTATGAAGAAACAAAACAGGATGCAATGATGGAGAATGATGGGCGGTGGGAGTAAAACATTGCTAATTAGATTGGGTAGTCAGGGAAGACTTCACAGAAATAGTAACCTGTGAGCCGAGGACCTGATGTGACAAGTGAGATCCAGCACAGAGAAGTTGGGAGGTTGCAGTCATGACAGAAGAAACCGAAAATACCACCTGAATGTTTGAAGAGAAGGAGGGTATGCTGGGCTATCCATTGAGTAGATCTTGTAGGGCTTGAATCTTGGTAATCTTGGAGGAGAAACTTATATTTTATTCTCATCAGAGTAGTTGTAAAAAGATGAAGAAAACACTGAGAAAAAAAATCATGCCACTTTGGGATCTATTTTGAAGGAAAGCCAACAAGACTTGTTAGGTCAAGGGTAGGAAGTGAAGGAATGGGTAGAATCAAGGATAAGTCCCAGGTTTTTGGTTCAAACATCTAGGTAAATTATGAACTATTTGCTGAGATTTAAAAAAACCTGAGATTCAAGGGATTAATTTTTTTTTTTTTTTAGATTTGTTAAGTTTGATATGTTAGGCATCCAGGTAAAGCAGCTAAATAGGCAGTTGGATGTAGGCATCTGAAGCTTGAGTTGTACAAAAGACAGGACCTAATTAATAAAGCAAGGACCAATATCGTGATGCATATATGATGTGTATTTTTCAAGCTGCTATTTGTAGTTTGACATTTAGGCTATATAATTTGTCTATAGTCAATGCAGAAC